GAGCAACACTGCTGTTTCCAGATTATCCCACCATCAGCCCTCAGGGAAACTCCTTGTAAGGTTGCTTTTTGATTTATTTTATCAGTGAAAATACATGCAACTAAACTTCACCACTTCAGGTGTCAACGTGGACAGTTCTGAGATGCTGATCACGTTCTTCATGTCGTGAGAACTTTGTTGTTATCGTTCTGTGAATTATTCCACCGTAGTTCCCCTAAACGCAGTGCCCCTCAGCACATCTCCTCTAAGGTTGGTTTTCATTCTGAGCTCCTTTTCAAAGGGGCTCCCTGAGTTCTGAGAGTGCAGAAGCCGGCTGTGAACTCATCACGTCACACACGGTATCACTATCCGAGTACCACTGCTTGTCTGGCCCCTTGAGAAGAGGACATGAGTATGGGCTCTGTGTCACTTTTCCAAAGTTCGGTTATTTGGAATTGGGCTCTGCTGCTTACTGGCTGTGCACCTCTGGGCTTGATCGTGTGACCCTCTTTTCCTGAGCATGGTTCCTCAGCCCGAACCTGCTGGTGGCACTGCGTGACCTGCAGAGCTGCTTTCTGGACCCGGGGAGATGATCATAGGGATGATCGTGGGACAGGCTATCATGATTTATCCCTTCCTGTCAACCTCAATGGTTAAGCACTCCACTGCTAGCCAGAAGGTCACTGGTTCCAACCCATCAGCCACCCTGCAGGAGAAAGGTGTGGCTTCTGTAAAGAGTTACAGCCTTGGAAACTCTACGGGGAAGTTCTCTGTTCTGCAGGGTTGCTGTGGTCAGAATCGACTGGACAGCAGTGGATTTGTTTTTTTGTTTTTGTTTTTGTTTTTAATGGTTGGGCTACACATTTAGTTTGCTTTCCAGAAGTAAACAAACATGCCTTCCCTTTTTATATGGAGTCTCAAAAGTCGGGATACATAGTTTGAACTTTTAAAATGTCTTAATTTATGAGTCGGGGCCGACTCGACGGCAAGCAACAACAACAATTTAGATTATACATTTTATAATGTCACATCAGTATCCCCAGTCTCCCATGCCACCTGAATGAAATTCTAGTTTTTCTTCCTTTTATTATTTCTTCTCTATTTTTAAGAGCTTGCTTTACATTCAACATTACATGCACATTTAGTTTCACTCCCATTTACCATGTCCAACCATAATCCAGTCTCCTCCCCTCCCTACCCTGTAACCCTCCTCCTGAGACCCTCATATTTATGCACTCCTGTTTGTCCTGCATTTCCTCAGTTTGAATGTTGGTCCTCTAGTGCCCCTTGGTCCATTGCTCTAAGGGATGTGTTACCATAGCGTATGTGAGTGCATCATCCTGGGTTGAGTGGTCTGCCTGTACATCTTATTAACTATTGGGCTGAGAGCCAGCCCCTAGGGGTGCATTTTATTCCAGGCACAGAATATATTCCAGGGCCATAGTATTGGAGGTCTCACCAGATTCCATCTGACCAGTAATTCTGGTCATTATTGAGTTTTTGGATTTTGTTCCACGTTTTCCCTCCCACTCTATCCAGGATCTCCAGATTTGATCCTTTCCTGAGTGGCTGACATTGGTAGCCGGGCACCATCTAGTTCTTCTG